TCAAAAGAGAAGAATATCAAAGCTGATAATTCATCTGCACTAAGTTCCTGCTCATATGAATATTCATGACAATGAATTGGCTGATTCAGCTGCAAAAAAGGGTGCAGAATTAAGCAGATCTATTCAAAAAATTATGTTCTGATCTTTTATAAAGAGAAAAATAAAAGAATCTTATTTAAATAAGTGAAATGAAAGCTGGCAGAAATAAAAGAAGAGTATACATTATTCAAGATTTGAAACAAAACCCAAGTGGAAATCTTGTTCAATTAAATGTAAAAAGAAAATATTCTCATCTATAATACAGCTGAAACTAGAACATGGCTATTTCAAATCTTATATACAAAGATTTGATGATAGATTTGACTCAATAGAATGCTTATTCTGCAATATAAATGAGAATCCTGAGTATATTGTAATGCACTGTGCATTATACAATAATCTCAGAGCCAGATTGAAAGAGAAGTATGATCTAAATCAATTAAATATGAGATTCTTATTCTCAACTGAGACAGGAATTAAATACTTAATAGACTTTCTATCAGAAACTCAAGCAGCTACAAGAAAATGGCTAAATTCAGAATTATCTGAATATGAAGAGGAGGAAATCAACCAGATATAGTCTGTTAAAACAGCTATATACTATCTTTTAATAATTTGTTTTATTACAGTCTTTCTTTATTTTATCTTTTCCTTTTAATTTCTTTCTGTCTATCTATTTAATGTGTCTATCTTTAAGACTGTGTTCTCTTTTCCTTTGTCATGATATTGTCAAATGATTTCAAAGTATGAGATGATGTTAAAACACTGCAATTTGTAAACAGTTTTTGTATTCTGAGCTGGAATTTTCTGATTTTGCATATCTGAAATTGATGAATGTATAATAGTTAACTTTACAGATATAGGAAAAACCCTGAGAACTAAAAGTTCTCAGGTAGATGTCATAGTCTCTGACTGCATACATCTATAATTGAAGAATAATAATAATAATACAGTATAATCAGTTGACAATCATTGCTATATAATAAAGATAATTTCTAATTCAGTAATCTTAAGAGTATAGAAATTATACTCTTAAAGAGAAGAGTATTATTATACTCTCAGCTATGCTAAGACTCTGTTACAGTTTCACATAGCTTATTACTTTTATACAGATAATTTCATTCATTCTGTAGACTATCTGAACTGGTTTTCAATCACTCTATAATATTATTCAGATATATCATAGAAAGATTCAATTGATAAATATGAGAATCTTACTTCTATATAAGATCAGCAGATTACTTTTTCTTAATAGTAAGATGCTACTGAGATATCACTCTAACTATTCTCACTTATAAAATGAGAGAAGGTATTCACTCATTATCTATATAGAATAGCTAGATACTGACTTCTTATAAAAGAAGTCAGTGATTCATTTTTCTTCTACTGAAATATATATAAGAGTTACTGTGTATCTCATACAATATTCTTAATATACTAAGTATTATATCTGTGATATTCTCACAATAACTCTGTAGTCTATGAGCTCGCTATTCAAGCAAGATAGTCAAGCTCACTTATACAGCTTCTTAAATAACTACCTCTACATGACACCGCTGACTAGTCATCACTTCGGTTCCGCCATGTTACAATATCAGAGTAAAATATGCTTTTCAAAAGATCTTAATCATATGCTGCAATTTTCAACTCAGTCTGAATCAGTGAAGATTTATAATATAATTATATCTCAACAACTTCAGTTTTAGTTCTTATAATCTGATGAAGAAAATACTGATCTTGACTCTCATATATCAGCAGATTAGAACTCAATTCAAATACTGTATTCATATAAATATCAAGTTGATTAAGAACTTGAATAATTGAGATATATTTCATCTCATTCTTCATTGTGATTATTTTGAAGAGACTAAATAATGAATTCAAGAATAATAATCTTTGTGCAGTCTGCAGAGTATAGTGAACAGCTTCTTAAACTTTCAGAACTATTATATAAGATCTCATATCTAAATGTCAGTGATTATATCTGATAAAATGCACTCTTTCAATGTGAGATATATCATTCAACTCTGATTTATAAAAGCATTTGAGATTCTCACACTGATACTGAATAAAATCAGAAGAAAAAATAGGTTTATTTAATAAATATTATATGAAGTTATCAGAATAATATTTGACTGAGCTTTCTCAACTGTGAGATTGTCATAACTCTGTGAAATTGTTGACAATTTCTGTCATTTCTATATACATTTGTCACTGGAAAGTTGAGGATTTGAGAAGAGTAGATATTAAGAGAATCAGATTTTGAAAGTAGAGTAATCTTATGAAGAATTCAGTGAGATTTTTCTGAGCAGAACTCAGAGTTGATATTTATATTAATAACACTATTGAAATTAAGATTTCCTTAACTGATAAAATCAGAAATTATGCTCTGCATTGCTTTTTCAGAGTTAATAGATCTTCAGAGAGTAGACTTATCAGTGATATATTCTTCAATGAACACAGAATTTACAGTAGTGATTTGTAGTTTTTTCAGAAAATATCTGACTCTTCAGCTCAGAGTCTCATTGTCAGAATAAATGAATTCATTTCAAAGTTACTGTGTTTGTGAGATATATCAATTGCTGAATCAGAATCAATAAATTAATTAGTAATAGTAACAGTAATTGCATCAGCAGCTGATATTTCAATATTATCAGTAACTGACTCATCAGAATTCTCTTGATTATTATTTTCAGAAATATTCTTCTCAGCAGCTGCTTTCAAAAGTCACTCAATATACTCAATATTATCAGCAGCATTCTCATTATATGACTCTGTCTTTAGAGAATATTAGTTTTTATAATAATAGAGATATTAAAAGTGATAAACTTACTGAGAATAGTAATGCTTCTTCACTGAGAGTATTATTATCTGAATCACTGTCAGTGAAATCTTCATTTGCAGTTTTTAGAAAAGAAGAGCTCTGATGTTGAAATTTCAATTAATCATCTCTGAATTCTTGTCTAGAGACAGATAGCAGATAGTATTTCAGATTTTAATTAAACAGATATAACATTTTACTTTCTGATATAATTTGTAGAAAAAAGTTACATAGTTGAAAAGATATGAATAAAGTGAATAAGTGATCTTGATAAAATAAAGAGATGAGATTAAATTACTGAAAAGAAATATATCAATAAAAGTTACAATCAGTGATAAATATTATCTTAATATTAATAATCATACTTTCTTTATTATATTCCTGCAAGTAGCTGATTATTTTATCAGAATACTATCAAAATTCTATCAAAATTCTGAAAATAAGTATAATCATAGATCTCAGTTTAATAGATCTCTCTGAACTCTCTCATCTGATAGGTTTACTGAGACAAATCACTGATTTCAAAAGAAATCATATATTGATATATCTGTATCATAGAATGAACATAATGACATCAATGAAGAATATCAGATAAATGAGAAATCAAACTCATCTCTGACATTCAGTAGTCTGTCAAAGAGATGTTACTGAATTCAGCACTCAGATACAGAAGTGTATGAGAAGAAAATTCAGCTGACAGAATAAAAGTTTCATGTTAAAATCAGATAAATGTATTTTCTTACATTCTCAAAGAACAATCTGAATAAGACAGTCACAGAGATAATGAAAACAAAGAATAAAATCTTATACATATTCTCATCAAGCTGAATTACAATACTTGATATAATAAAGACATAGAAGTCAAGAACATTGAAAGAAATGAAGACAAGTATTTTCAGTATTTCAGATCTTAGCAAAAATCTCAACTTTTCAGTGAAATATATCAAGTCTCTGATGAAATATCTTGATCTTTCAGCAGAATATCTTAAATCTCTGCTGAGATATATCAACTTTTCAGCAGAGAATCTTAGATAAATCTAAACTTTTCAGTGAGATATCAAAACTTGTCTGATCAACTTAATTAATCATTTATTAATATAGAATCATATTTAATGAAAGAAGATAAAAAGCAGAGAAAGTTCAGTGATAATCAGATTCTATAACTGCTATAAAGAGTTGACAATCTTTGACTATTTTTGTGATTTATTTACTGCTGAAAAGTTCTTCTTGATTTTTTACTGAGTATGAGAAATTATTGACTTTGATTGATTCTCTGAGTGAGAACAATAATATATGAAATATAAGTTAACATCAGTTTGAAAAACATCAGACTAAGAAACAAGAAACTGATTCTGAAAAATAGAGATATATACAAATCTGACAACTCAAGTCAAAATATTTGATAATACTGATATAAATGAAAATTTCATCACAGTTATACTGCAATGATAAAATATTCTGACATTCTGAGATCTGATAAGTGATATTTCTGAATATCAGTAAATTGTCAGAGATGACTTTACTGAAATGATTCAGAATACTTTAACAGTAAAAAAGAGACATCTGATAAAAGATGTATGAAAGAAGATATAGAAAAAGATCAAATTTTCAGAGATACTTTTAGTGAAAGACAGATCAGTGATGTAGAGATTTTCAACACAATTTATTTATATTTCAATATATTTAGTTTTCTATGAGTTTTATATATAAATTAGTTAATATATACTTTAATATACATAATTAGAATATACCTGTCTTGATATTCACTGAAGAAAGTTATTATATTCTCTATCTTATAATTTATATAGTTATGACTGCAGAGAATTGGTAATAACAACCGCTCCACCACGAACTCGCTCGATTTTTCGAATAAGAACCCGCTGATAGATCCATCGAAAAGCCCTCGATCATACGAGCATTTTGACCCCATCGCCGACTGCATACCCCGTGTGGTGGTGGAGTTATCCAGCCAAACGTGAACCGGACGTTGTTCGAAGCTCCTGTGTGGGATTATCCTCTGTTCTCCCCTACCACACCACAACCCCGGGCCAGAGTGCCATACAAATTGTAAGGTGAAGTGACCTAGTCATATGCACCAATCTTCTCAATTTTGGAAGATCCCCGACCTGTAGTTGTGAAGATATCCGAGGAGCGACCTCCGCGAAAACCCTGTCCATCTTTGATGTTCCAAAACACCAACGCCAAGTCTCACCCTCATACCGCCCTTCCCAATCTGGCCCATCCCCAGCAGAAAAATACAAAAAGATACCTCAGCAATAATATCAAGCACATAATCAACAGACTCTTCTGAAGTGCAACCTTCACAGTCTGCTGCCAGTGTATCTAGACTTCAACACCAAGTCTCACCCCTGTACTACTCCTCTCAATCTGGCCCATCCCCAGCAGAATGATACAAAAAGATACCTCAGCAACAGCATTCAATACATAATCAGTGAACAATGAGTCAACAGCACATCAACAACTATAAAATCAGTATATCTCAAGATCTGACTGAGCCTTTGATCCCTGCACAGTGAGATATATTAAATCTAGTTTTAATATCTCAATATTCAATAGATTCTGCAAGGAATTGAGAACAGCAATACTAGGTTTCTATTGAATTTGAGAATTAACTCTATATTAATATAATCATTGACAAAGTCTTCTATTTTGAGATATAAATAACCAGTTCCTCTACATCCTGCTGACAATATTTATATTATTATATAGAAACAGACTTATATTCTCTATAATATCAAGACTCTGAAGAGAGAAAGTCTTGATAGAGAGTATACAGTAGTGTATATCTTAGCAGTTTCTATCTCATTCTTCTGCAGCAGTTAATACAAAAAAAAGATCTTAGAAATAGTTTTTTACTTCTCTTGAAAAAGTAAGATGTTTTTCTCTGAGTTTTATACAATATTCTTACAAAGAATTAAAAACAGAGTTGTTTTCTATCATAATTTCATATTCTTTTAAGTAAGAATTACTTTTTCAGTGACTGAAGAGCTTTCATTAATACTTAATTCTTTTTTACACTCTTTATTAACTGATTTGAGTTGCACACTTGTTGTGTGAGAAGAATTGAATAATTTAGAATAAAATTGAATAGTTTTAATCAATTTCTCTGCAAAAAATTGATTTATTTTTTGTCAGTTTTTCTCTCAAAAACTGTCATATTATCTGATTTATTATCAATTGATATCATACTTTTTCTCACTGTATCTCAAGAAAGAGATTGTAAAGATTTTATTGATTTATCTTAAAAATCAATTTTAGTTTATTAGATTCTCTTCAAAAATCTAACCTAGTTACTGAACTAGTGTGAAAAAAATCAGGTGTTTTATATATAAAAGTCTTTTATTCTTCTTTTGAAACAGTCTGATCAACTTTTCAATTGAAAACAGACTTAGAAATATCTCAATTGAAACAGTCTGATCAACTTTTCATTGAGTGAAAATAATAAGTTTAAAAATACACTCAGTTGATGTGAAAAAAGATGCTTTCTCAAATACTATTTCTGAGATTGAAATTCTGAAGAGAAGAAAGAAAGAAGAAATAGAGAAACAACAAGTTCTTGAAATACAGAAACTTGAAAAAGCAAGCAAGATTCTTGAAAAGCAGTGTCTGAGTGAGATAAATGAAGAAGTTCTATTAATTCTTCATGCTCAGACTAGACAACTACAGGAGATGATTAAGTTCAAACTTGAAATCTTAAACACAGTTCAAAAAACCTTGAAAATTCCTAGTACAATCACTGACTCTTTATCTTACTCTTCTTCTTTCTTTCTTTCTACTTCTTCTTCTTCTTTGAATCAGAAGAAAACATATACTCAAGCAGCTGAATCTACTGTCTCTAAACCTGCTATCTCAAAATCAGCTCAAAATTCTGAGAAAACTGAGAAGAATACTGCTCATGTCTCTATTCATAGAAAAGTGAAAAAGAAAATACAAAAAGAGAAAAACTTTCAAATCTTCAGAAATAGAAGACTTATTCTCAAAGTCTCAAATCAGAACATTCTGCAAAGAAACAAGCTAAACTTAAATCTTATTTTCAGAATCAGAAATGAAATTAATCAGCAGTTCTTTTCTCAGTTAATGACTGATATTAAAGTTCAAAAATCAGTTATAGCTTCAATTGAGTCATTATTCTTTAAAAACTTCATCATTCTGACTACAATGCCTGAATTCAGTGCTGAATTCCTTATTCAGAATGAGAATCTCTGAAAGTCAGCAGTAGAATCTTTGTTAAACACAATAATTCTATCTGAAAGAGATGAAAAGTGAGACAAATTCATTCTTTATAATATTTCAGTTGAAATTTTTGACTGTGAAGAAGAAATGCTACTTCTCAAAAATGAATTGAAAGAATACAACTTCATTCAACTGAGAAAGAAGTCTGTATGACTAAATTTAATTAAGTTCAGACAAAGCAGGAGAAATGCCTCTGTTCTAGTATATACAAAAACACTTGAACAGTCAAAGATCTCTGAAGTAAGAGTAGTAGATTTGAAAATGAGAGTTCATGAATACAAAGACTTGAGAATGAATCTCAAAGCTCAAACACAGTGTTCAAACTGTCAAAGATATGAACACTTTATAATCTCATATTTTAGAGACTCAAAATGTGCATTCTGTGTCAGAGATTATAAAACTAGTGAGCATAAATATGAAACATGCTCAAAAAGAGATGAAATTTATCAATATACTCTGCTTAAGTGCTCTAATTGTAAAGAAAAACATGCATCTAGCTTAAAAGAATGTATGTTTACTTCTAGAACTCAAAAGAACTGGAGAAAAGATAAAGCTTAAAGTCAATCTAGAACTGAAGAGAAGAGTCAAGCCAGTAAACTCATAACTGCAAGCTTAAAAAGAAGAAACTCTCAATTATCTAAGTCTTCAAACTTCAATTCTTCAGTGAAATGTAAACAGAATTTGAATTCTCAAACTTCTGTTAAGATTAGAGAATTGAGAAATAACTCTGATGATAAACTAGATATAATGCAAGCAGTTGAGATTTCTACTTTTCAGAACAGTTATAATCTACTATCTGATGATAGTAATTAGATTCTTCTCTACTCTCTTTTAGTATGAATATACAACAAAAACAATAAAAAAAGTTTAAAAACTCTTCAAAAATCACATTTATTCAAAATAATGTGAATAGAAACTTAAATTGCATTTATTCTTGTCTTCAAATTGTATTTGAACAGAAAGTTGATTTTATACTGCTTCAGAAGCTGAATTTTAATACTGAGTAAAAATATATCATTTCTCATTCAAGCTACTACTGCTTTTTACCTCAAAAGTCTGAGATAAAGTCAAGAGTAGTGATCTATGAAAGAAAGAGATCAAGATATTAATTTAATCTAAGATTTAATATCATGTCTGACCCTGATATTCTGATGAGTGATATTATAGATAAAGAAAATGAGTTTGATACTATACAGCTCATAAATATCTATAATGAAAAGTCATTGAAGAAAAATAACAATATCTGAATAATTGATAGAGAATTTCTGAATATAACTTCATCAAGAAACTCTATAATTATAGAAGATTTCAATGCACATCATCTCTGATGAAATTCAGAATGCAAGAGAGCAGTGAGAGCTGATAATCTGATTGAATGAATCTTTGAGCATTCAATAGATTTGATTAATAAGTCTGATCAACAAACATTCTTTAGAAAAGGCATGAAACAGAAGTCTATTATAGATCTAACATTCATGTCACAAAATCTAATGAAAAGAAGACTTGTAAACTGATTTATTAATTTAAATAAGACATCAGAATCAGATCATGAGATTATTCAATTTAATATTGAACTGAGTGAAAAACAAATGAGTGAAAATCCTCTTCTCTCTAATCAGTATAACTTTGAAAAAGCTGATTGAAAAGTAGTTGAAGAAAGTATAAAACTGTTAAAATCTGAAAGACAGAATGAGCTATATTGAAATTCTGATCAAGATATCTCAAATGAAATGCTTAAGAATAGAGTGAAGCTTATTACATCTATTATTCTAACAAGTGTTAGAGATAATATTTCAAAAAGAAAATCTTCTGAGTATTCAAAACCTTGATGAAATGAGAATATCTCATCTAAAAGAAAAGAATTAGCTACTGTTAGAAGAGATTGAAAGAATGATGTAATATCTGATGAAGAGTTCAAAGCTGTCAGAAATAAATATTTTTCAGATATTAAAAGAGCTAAAACAGACTGCTGAAATAAATTTCTTAAAGAAGTATAAGAAAAGGAAGTTTTTAAAGCTTTTAACTATACTAAAACAAGAAGTGTAGCAAAACTTTCAGCTCTAGAATATGAGTTTCAGAATGAATCATATACAGTAAACTCTTTTGAGAAAAAATATCAAGCTTTCATGAGAATTCTCTTTCAGAACTCATCAGATTCAGATTCAGATTCAGAGAAAGAGAATATATCACTTCTCAACTATATTAATGAAAATGACTGGGAATGGCCTGATCTTACACAAGATGAATTAGAGTCAGCTATCTTCTCAAGTTCTGTTAAAACTGCTGCAGATCCTGATTCAATTAATCACTTGATTATTCAAAATATATATTCCTACTTAAAGAATGAGTATTTTAAGCTCTTTTTCAATCTCTTGAAAAATGAATATCATTCTGAATGCTGAAGAGAAGTCACTGAAGTGATTCTTACAAAACCTAATAGAAAAACTTCAATTCCTAAGTCATATAGAGTAATATCTCTATTGAACTGCCTAGAAAAGGTTTTAGAAAAGATAATAGCTACTTGACTATCTTTTATAAGCTCTATAGATGATTCTCTTTTATTCAGTGAATAAATAAGAGATAGAAAACAGTGTTCTGCAATTGACACTGTTCTCTCAGTTGTTCATGATATTTAAATAGTAAAGTATGAGAGTCTGGTCTCAACTGCAGTTTTTATTGATATAAAAGAAGCATTTGATTATATTTCAAAGTCAAAGTTAATTCAGACATTGAAGATATTAAAACTGTCACTTTCTCTAATAAAATGAGTTAACTGTTTTATATCTAAAAGAATTATACAACTCTTCTTTGATGGAATGAAATAAGACAAGACTGAGATAAAAATAGAAGTATTATAGAGGTCTTCAATCTCACTCATTTTATTTGTAATATACACTGCATATCTATTCAAAAATAGAAATATGAGAATAGTGCAATCTCTGAGTTATATGAATGATATTGATCTAGTCTACAGCTCAAAAACTATCAAAGAGAATTTAAAAGTAATTGAAGAAGCTGTAAAGAAAATCTTTGTTAGAGCAGATATCAATCAAATTCAATTTAATATAAATAAAACTGAGTTAATTCATTTCTTTTCTAGATTCAATGAGAAAGAACTATCTCTAACTCTTTTAAATAGAGAGATTAAACCCAGTGTAAATATCAAATGATTAGAAGTATGATTAAACTTCAAGTTGAATTTTAAATATCACATTCAACAAAGAACTGTCAAGGCAGAAAGACTATTGAACAACATAATCAGACTATCAAATACAGAGAGAGGTCTATTCTTCCAGGCTATGAGACAGTTATATATAGCCTGTATTATATCAGTAGCTGATTATGAAGTTCAAGTTTGATGAAATAATCAAGAGAATTTCACTGAACTCTTTCAAAGTCTGTAAAACAGAGCCTTGAGAAGAATTCTGAGAGCATTCAAATCATCTCCTATTAAAGCAATGAAAATTGAAGCTTCAATTCCTTCTCCTGCTATTAGATTTGAAAAGGCCTGTATAAACTATGCTCTGAGAGTTGTAAAGATGAGCTTAAATCATATAATCAGAGAAAGAGTCTCTTCTTCATTTTCATCAATTAACTCTGGAAATGAACTGAATTGAAATAGATTTCTTGATTGAAATGAAAATAATTCTTCAAAGAAAATGTCTTCTCAACTGTACAGACTATGCTCTCTGATTAAAAATCAATTTTCTTCTTTAAATGTTGAAAAAGTTGATCATGAGAAGTTATCTCTCTGAAGAAAAAAGCTTGAATCTCTTATAGACTTACAAATAAGTGAACTATCAAAGAGAAAGAATATGAACAGCATTTAAAGAGAACTTCTACAATCAATATAAAAGACTCTATTCTGATTTATTCAGATGACTTAAAAAATGAGAACTTGAATAGATTAGACACAGATATTGCTTATACTGAAGATAATATTAATTTTATCTCAGATTTCTGAAATCTAGGCTCTGAATGTGAAGTCTTTGATGCTGAACTATTTGCAATAGTAAAAGCTTTCAAACTCATTGAAATAAAATCTTATAAAAGAGGAAATTGTTTGAAAGAGATATGAATATTCTCTGATAGTCAAGCTGCTTTAAAAAGACTTAGAAATAGTCAGATTCATAATAATCAAATGAATCTTGAACTGATCTTAAACTCTGTTTTAAAAATTCAAAAGAGAAGAACATCAAAGCTGAGAATTCATCTGTACTGAGTTCCTGCTCATATGAATATTCATGACAATGAATTGGCTGATTCAGCTGTAAAAAAGAGTGCAGAATTAAGCAGATCTATTCAAAAAATTATATCCTGGTCTTTTATAAAGAGAAAAATAAAAGAATCTTGTTTAGACAAGTGAAATAAAAGCTGGCAGAAACAAAAGAAGAGTATACATTATTCAAGATTTGAAACAAAACCCAAGTGAAAATCTTGTTCAATTAAATGTAAAAAGAAAATATTCTCATCTATAATACAGCTGAAACTAGGACATGGCTATTTCAAATCTTATATACAAAGATTTGATGATAGATTTAACTCAATAGAATGCTCATTCTGCAATACAAATAAGAACTCTGAGTATATTATAATGCACTGTGCATTATACAATAGTCTCAGAGTCAGATTGAAAGAGAAGTATGATCTAAATCAATTAAATATGAGATTCTTATTCTCAACTGAGACAGGAATTAAATACTTAATAGACTTTCTATCAGAAACTCAAGCAGCTACAAGAAAATGACTAAATTCAGAATTATCTGAATATGAAGAGGAGAAAATCAATCAGATATAGTCTGTTAAAACAGCTATACACTCTCTTTTAATAATTTGTTTTGTTATAGTCTCTCTTTACTTTATCTTTTTCTGTATCTTTTTCTTTCAATTTCTTTCTATCTATCTATTTAATGTGTCTATCTTTGAGACTGTGTTCTTTCTCTCTTTTCTTTTGTCATGATATTGTCAAATGGTTTCAAAGTATTAAAAGATGTTAAAACACTGCAATTTGTAAACAGTTTTTGTATTCTGAGCTGGAATTTTCTGATTTTACATATCTGAAATTGATGAATGTACAATAGTTAACTTTACAGACATAGAAAAAACCCTGAGAACTAAAGTTCTCAGGTAGATATCATAGTCTCTGACTGCATACATCTATAATTGAAGAATAATAATAATAATAACTGCAGAGAATTCACTGATTTCACTGTATTAGAAAATCTTGAATTCTGTAGATATATTTCTAGCAGTGCATTGAACACTTGTTTCTAGTTAATAGAAATAATTTTATATTCAAAATAGCTGTAATTCATTCAGTAATAGCCTGTGTAGAAAGTATTAAGATATGAATGAAATTCATCAGATACACTGATTATACTCAGAGATGAAATATGAAAGTATTTACATTCATTACATAATAATCTGCAAAGATGAATCAATAACATATATAAGAAGAATAACTTATCATCTTCTTTTTCTTTCTTTCTTTCTTTCTTTCTTCTTCTCACAATCATATTATAATACAAACATCAATTTTTTCAGTTCACTCAGCTTTTCTCATCTTCAGTAAGATTAGTATTCTATCAGTTGTAATAGAAAGCTTTGAATATCAAAAGTTCTAATGTCAAGATATCTAATGTACATAGTATATCAAGAATGTCAGTGATCTATTATTTCATTCAACAGCAGCAGTAACAGTAACAACAGTAATAGTAATAACAGTAACAGTAATAACAGTAATAGTAACAACAGTAACATCAATAATAGTAACATCAATAACAGCAGCAGTAACAGCAGCAGCAGCAACAGCAGCAGCAGTAACAGCAGCAGCAGTAACAGCAGTAGCAGTAACAGTAGCAGCAGCAGCAGCAGCAGCAGTAATAACAGCAGTAATAACAGCAGTAATAACAGCAGTAATAACAGCAGCAGTAATAATATCAAAATGACTGAAGACACTCTCAAGTGTACACATGCAGCAGCTGTAAAAGCACAAGAGAAAGAGACAGTGATCAGACTGAAAACTTTCAATCAGTCAGATAAGTTAATAATATATAAATATTGTATCTTGTATATCTTTTCTCATCATATTAATGCTGTTTATAACAAAGTTAAAGAAAGTACAAAGCTATATTTAAACTGTAATTATAAAAAGAAAAATTGTATAATATACTCTGATGAATTCAAAGATGAAATTGAAAATCTAGTCTGAATTTATGAGTTTTATCTTATCACTTCAACAGCTATAAAGAAATCAGTTAAGTCAGTCATACTGAAGATAGTGAAGAATTTATTCAAGTAAATCAAGAAAGTAAAGATATATCAGCAGAAAGCAGAAAATTAAAAAATAAAGAGTATAGCTATTATATTGAAAGTCTTGAATATATCTATCAGTCTCACTGAAAAAGTCAAACTTGAAATTGAGAAGATTAAGTTGAATATTGAAAGAATTAAATTGAAGATTGAAAAGAAGAAAATTGTTATAAAGAAGAAGAAAATTATTATTAAAAAGACAAAATTGAATATTAAAAATATGAAGCTTACTATTCAGTAGAAGATCTTAAGATCAGTTAATAATTATTATAAGAGTTAAAAAGCAGTGATAAAGAATCTCATAAACTTGATTAATGATATTAAAGAGAAAGTATAGTACATTTTCATTGAAATATATAAAATAATAAACTGATTTAAAATAATTATCAAACTTCTCAGTAATACAGTCAATGAGAGTAGTAGTAATAAGAAATCTATTAATAGTAATAATTTTCTTCTTCTTTCTACAACTCTTATCAGCTCTTCTATTATCACTATCAATTCTCTTCTCTTCTTCTTCTTTAATCTTTCAACTCTGATAAGTGTTCTGAGTTCTCAGACTTATAAAATAATCACTGAAACAGTAAGCTAGAGTTAGTAAAATAATTCTCAGATTTATTCAGAGATTAATAATTATATAGATTTTTAAATATCTGATATCTGATTACTCTGAAATCTCAACTTTTAAATATCAGATAACTGATAACAGTGTCTCTCAGATCATGACTAATCTGTAAACCTTAATTTACAAGTTCAGTGATATGATTAATAAGAGTAATATAACTGAGAATGAAGACTATAAAAGAAACTTAATTCAGTTAATTCAAAAGAATTTAAATAGAAGTATCTATGATTTTCAATAGAGAATAATATCAGTGAATGAGATGATTTTTAGAATTAGTGATTATATAGATTGAATTCAGTGACATCACTAATATGATAATTGATTTTTTCAGTTTATCACTTATTTACAGTGATTTCATCATTTATTCATCATTATACTATGATTTACAGCTCGGCGACCGTGTCGCCGATTGAAATGGTGGAACAACCATAATCCGGTCGTGTAATAACCCTACGTTCTTCCGGTATGGAACCGCCTTTTTTTTTTTTTTTTTTTTTTTTTTTTTTTTTCTTTTTGCTGATGTAATCCAACATTGATCTCCCCCGCTACCTTCTTGAACGAAGATGAAAGATTCATTAAGCTATAGAATATCAGGTCAATTGTAGAGTGAACAGCTGCGCCCGTCCGAACTTATGAATGCTGTCGAGTATCAAGGCATATACACCTCAGTGGATTGCTGGCAGTGACTTACAGCTTTATGAGCAAGGTTTCGCTTCTTAAAGCTTGCACCTCCAATACCTTCTCGCGTTTTTCTCTCAGCATTCAATGTCCGACACTCCTCCTGTCCGCGGGGGCCGCCCTGTGTTACGACATAGCTCTCTCTCCGGTGGATCCTTTATACAGGATCATCAGCAGTATAAACCCTCTTCGCACAAGCCCCCAACTATACGGAGCATCCTCCGGGGTCCTCATGAGACCCTCACCTCCCCGATGCCCCTCACTGGCTACCCCGCCAATGAGCAGAGTGGCTCGATCAAGGAAAGCGGAATTGTGCACAGCATCTTCAACGAGTCATTAAGCTCTCTCCCTCCAAATACTCCTAAAACCGTTGCTACGATCTTTTACAAGGCGGCGTCCGATCCAGTTCATCCTCATATCCATCCCGATTCATCCTCCTCTCAAACCAAACCCTCAGACCAGCTCCCCGTTCCAACCGTTGCGCCAGGTTCGGCTCCCACATTAGACGTTGAACAGCTTCCTCGAGAACCACTAGCCCTTGAACCAGAGCCGTTAGATCATCTATACGGCCCATATGTCTCGCAACTATGTCTGACAAATTTCTTGCAAGTGATGGAGGACATGCCCACTCCCTACCAGCGGATGAGCAGCTCGCATCGCTGTTTGGATAAAGAGGATCAGCCGCGAGTGGTAGAAGTGACAATCTGCCCTCCTCCAAACCCGGAGTACCTATCCTTCGAGGATATGCGGAAACACGAGAATATATGGCGATTTGAGCGGGAATGGAATGTGGAAGTTGTCATGCAGAAGGAAAGCGTGTTTCGAAGACATAAGCGGTTAGCTGTCTTTGACATGGACAGTACCCTGATCGAACAGGAAGTCATTGATGAAATTGCCCGGTTCATTGGCGTGGAGAAGGAGGTTTCGGTACGTTCCAAACCCCAAGATTCAATAATGAATAATGTGGGCAGTATGAGATATTTATACCGTCCTGCAATGTAATTTTAGGAAATAACTGCTCGTGCGATGAACGGCGAACTTGACTTCTCAGCCTCCTTGGAAGCGCGAGTGAGACTCCTAAAGGGCGTGCCTGCAGACGTCTTCGAAAAACTCAAGTCCATCATTACCATCGCACCCGGTGCCCGTGAACTCTGCGGCGCCCTGAAAACTCTCGGATACAAACTGGCAGTTCTGAGCGGCGGTTTCCAACCCCTCGCAGAGTGGCTGGCTGGTGAATTGGGGCTGGACTACGCCTTTGCCAATCACGTACGAGTGAACCCCTCTAGTTTTGTGAAACTAGCCCCCCTACTCCTTTTTTTTAAAAAAAAAAAAGAAAATGATAATAAGAATACAAATCTGACACCTTACACTCCATTTCTAATACAGCTCGAAATCGACGCTACTACACAAACCCTCACCGGCAAGCTCGTGCCAGATTACCCAATCGTTGACGCCGCGCGAAAGCGGCACTTGCTCCGCACTCTCGCTGCTGACAATGGCATTTCTATCGCGCAAACACTGGCCGTTGGCGATGGCGCGAATGACCTCCTTATGCTGAAAGAGGCTTGGTTGGGCGTTGCGTGGAGGGCGAAGAGCAACGTGCAACTGGAAGCGCCGACTAGACTTAATGGGACTTCGTTGGTGGATGTTTTGTATTTGCTTGGGTTGCGGGAAGAGGAGATCAACGAACTGATTGAGGCTGGGAAAGCGGAAAAGAAAGAGGTAGCTTAGGTTAATGAAGGCTTTCAAAACACCTGTGTTTTGGATCTAACCTCGACCGGCATATATAATAAAGGATAAGGGTGACTGACGCTGTGTTCATATGCCTCCGTGGATCCGGTTGGACCCATTACGTTCTTTGTAGATTTTTGGATATTACTTACATATACTTTTACAATGGCCCATATGAGCATATAGTGTACATGTCAATATATTAATAGATTTTGGGAATTTTGAGCATCTCTTTTGGCTAGTTCTTCGGTTATACCGGTCATATGCGGGCGAATCTTGCGCCACGGGCTCTGGATTTTCCAGGGCGCTTTGGAAGCATTCTCATGTTTCTCATACTTTGAAGTCTTCACTTCACGCCCCGCAGTATATATAACCGGATTATCTTGTCACCAGTCTCGCCATGCGAAATATTCCCTTCCTGTATTCCTAGGTAATGTCGGGTTCTAGATATTGACACCACTTAAGGAGGATGTTTGCGGATGGGGGTGAGGAAAATCACACACGCTTTTACAATCTAGCAACCAGTCAAGAACGAAATGGGCTTGGTTGATTCCCCGGTTAACTTTCTGAGTGAGATTTGTTGAAATCTCATGCCATTCCCAAGACATATTATACATCTAAACAGAAAACAAAAAAAATGACAGGTCGTGGTCTGTATGAAACTAGAGGGGAAAATACCAAAACGCCAAAGACCAAGAAGCAACCCCATCGGTCCAAACTACGTATGTAGATGTCGCGTGTTAAAAAGCCCAGACAGGCCTCACAATTCCCACAAACATAAATAGCCTTATCGAGGAGTTAAAACAAATAATAAATCATCTCACGGCCTCCCCCGCAACCAGCTTCTCCACATTCTCACTCGTCGTCCCCTTCCCACTCGCACTTCCAACATTCTTACCCCTCTTTTTCTTCAACACATTCTCAATGAACGCCTCGCCCGCCTTATAACTACTCCTCACCAACGGACCAGATGCACAATACAAGAAACCCATCTCAAGCGCCCGCTCCTTCCACATATCAAACACATCCGGCCTCACGTATTCATGGACCGCCATGTGTCTCTTGGTCGGTCTCATGTACTGTCCGAACGTAACGACATCAACGTCGATAGCCCTCAGCGCCCGCAGAGTATCCCATAGCTGTGCCTCCGTCTCACCCAGACCCAGCATGAGAGAAGTCTTCGTAATGAGCTCCGGTTTCGTCGCCTTGGCCGCCTTTAGTACACGTAGGCTCTGCTGGAATGTCGCCCGCCGATCACGGACAAATGGCGTCAGCGCCTCGACCGTCTCGACATTGTGCGCGTACACGTCCAGTCCCGAATTGGCCACGAGGGCCACCATCTCGAGATCCCCAGCGTAATCGCCCGTCAAGCACTCGACGAGAATATTCGGCGCCTTCTGCTTGATTTTCAGCACCGTCTCTGCGAAATGTCTCGCGCCGCCATCCGCAAGGTCATCCCGATCAACGCTTGTCAGCACGACATATCCCAGCCCCCAGCGCGAGAGGGCCTCAGCCGTGTTTTCTGGCTCGTGTGGATCGAGCGGAGGCGGCTTATTGGATGTTTTCACACTGCAGAAGCGACAGCCGCGCGTACAGGTGTCGCCCATGAGCATTATTGTAGCCGTGGC